CGTCTTCTCACTGTGAAAATCACAGGGAGAAGCGCGGAAGCGCCTCTAGCGGCTGTCAATGAGACAGCCACTAGAGGCTAACTTAACCATATTGTAAACATAGCAGTTTCTCTGAAACTGCTATGTTTACAGCAGGCAGGGTTTACCCTAGAGGGACCTGGCACCCAGACCACTTCATTAAGCTGAAGTGGTCCGGGTGCCTATAGTGGTCCTTTAAGTACACCCACACATATTATATATAATTTTATTCAGGAGAAATAGGGCTTTCATTTAATATCAAATATTTAGCTATGAAACATAATTTAATATGAATAAAATATTTAAAAAATTTAGATTTTTAAAAACATTTTTTTAGTTCTGCATAACATTTTAACTGTGAATGTCATAATACTGTTTGCTTTTACTGCAACAGAATACACATATTTGTATTCAGCGATGTCTCACGTTTAAAATAGTACACCCTATGTACAGGTTTTATGGTGTTTTTGGAAGTTACACCCCATTTGCAATACCTTGGATTGTCTACAATTGGAAATGGTATATGTCCAGTCTTTTTAAGTAGCCACTTATTTACAAACACTGGCCAAAGTTAGTGTTAATATTTGTTAGTGTGTGAAAAATGCAATACACTAATTTGAACACCAATTTTGGCCAGTGTTTGTGACTAAGTGGCTACTAAAAAAGACTGGACATACCCCATTTGCAATACCTTGGGTTGTCTACTTTTGCAAATGGTATGCCACCATGTGGGTAATTCTCATTCCTGGGCTACACTACAGTCTCAAAGGCAACAAATATTAGTGTTCAAAACTGTAAATGCATCACAATTATATTGTCAGTGTAAGTGCCGTTTGTGTGTGAAAAATTTAAAAACTGTAACTTTCACTGATGATATCATCGTTGTAATACATTTTACTGTTTTGAAACACTAATATTTGTGTTCAGCAAAGTCTCTCGAGTAAAACAGTACCCCCCATGTACGGGTTTTATGGTGTCTTGGAAAGTTACAGGGTTAAATATAGTGCTAGCAAATTAAATTCTCTGGACTTTCTGCCTGGGTTATCATATCAAGATAATATATACATATACAGGTAGTTCCCGACTTTATGAACTAATTGGTTCCGAAGCCTGGTTCATAAAGTGAGAGTTCATAAAGTGAGAACTAATTTCCCATAGACACAATGTAATAAACACGGGTTCTGTTCCTGACCAACAAATTTTACCATTGAAAACCTTAATTATTAAGTACAAATTCAATATGAAAGCATAGCAAATACATGTATGTTGTAGGAATTTTAAAGGCATGCATACCATATTGAAATCTTCATCAAATTATCATCAATCCTCCTACTATTCAATGAAGAGACATGCTGCACTTGTTGAATGGGGGCACCTCTCTTACGCCCTCCTACTTATTCATTTTCTTCATTATCAGCTTCCCCCTTTCCTTTGTCACTTTTCTTTTACTCCTTTTATTTTTACAGCTCTCAAACTTTCTTCCTATCCCCTTTTTCAGGTTTTTCAGCCCTCCTCCTGCTCCTTACTATTGCTGCCTGCCAAAACATGGCACAATGGCAAACACAAACAATCTAAACCTGTTTTTTAGACTTCCCTTTATCTTCAGGGACTGTGTTCCTGATCCTCATCTCTCTTCTTGTCTACTCCTGACCACAAATTCTTCTTCTACTCTTCTTGTTTGTGCTCCAAAGAACTCTCATCGGTCCTGATTCGTGGACCACTGACAGAAAATGGCGGCGCATCCAGAAAAAAGTTCAAAAAGTGAGAGTTCATAAAGTGAGAAATGCCTGTGTAGAATCAATATATATATATATACACACACACATATATAATTACCCCCATGATGGCATCCCATTATTGTGTAAATATATATGTGTGTGTGTATATATATATACACACACATTTATTTATATACAGTAGAAAGGAATAAAATTTAACTTTTATTTAATCCATATAAAAGACTGTTATATGGATTAAATAAAAGTTAAATTTTATTTGAAAACTTTCACAAAGACCTTGGAGTGCGGTCCTTTCTACTGTATCTACATGATTTTGCCAGACCTGCACCAAGCATAAAGAATTTAACCAGGAGTGCAAGCCCTTGTTACATATTATACATACATACATACATTTCAAAAGTGCTTTTTATTTCAGCAATCAATGTTCAAATACAAAGTGTCAACGTTTCAGTCCAATCGGACTTTTATCAAGACAATTTAACAGTGTTATACAACTCATTTAAATATGCAGTGCTCAAACGTTCATTGGAGGGTGTTAGTGATGAAAACGAGGTTGAGTGATGTCATTAATGAAGTATCTTATTTCAAATGAGTCATCTGTGTAATTAATCCCCTAATTCCCCAGAAGTGAGTAATTAGGTGTTCAAAGGTGATTAAGAAAACTAACTACTGAAACAAATATATACATATATACAAATATTGACACAATATAGTGATATAGTCAGGACACCCACTATATAGATGTAGTCTAAATCTCTTAATGGCAAACTGTCCATATTCACTATATGTCCATAGACAATATCACCATAACCACTAAAAGGATATGACTCACAAATGCAGGATTTAACCTGTTGTGTGCGGGTAAAAAGATAGCATTCAAACATAAGGATATAGCACAGTAATTATAATATATACAGGCGTAGGTCTAAATTCGTTACATTTCTAGCATAGTAGAGAGAAGCCACATATGTAGCATAATAAAGAGAAAGTTAATAATCCCCATTATTAACTTAATGTTCATGTTGCATTATATGAAGAAAGTATAAATAGTAAACCACTTATTATAACTATATTGGAAAAAATTAGGCATGTGCATGGGGAAAATTTTCAGTTCGGTTCGGCTTGGCACTTCGACACTTCGGAACTTCGGCAACTTCGGCATTTCGGGACTCCTCTTGCAGCTGCTTAGTAGATAACTCCCTAATTCCCACAGTATTAGGGAGTTAGCTACCAAAAGGCTAAAATACCTAAATTGGTCTTTCAGCCAAATTTACTAATACTAAGTAAAAATTACCGCAATATCGCGAGTAGGGGCATATCTATTAAACAGTGAGCAGCCTGTGGCTCTGTGTCATTTTACACAGTGTGGGAAAGTTCTTTGGAATTTTCCCACGCTGTGTAATTTGACTCATAACACTCTGATTGGTGGATTAAGTAACCAATCAGAGTCTTGTTATGAGTCAAATTACACAGCATGGGAACTTTCCCACGCTGTGTAAAATGACACAGAGCACTCTGATGGGTGGATTTCAAGCCAACCAATCAGAGTGCTGTGACAGGTAAATGTAGAGACTTACCTGTCAGTCTCTTCATTTACCTGTCAGAGCACTCTGATTGGATGGTTTAAACCCACCAATCAGAGTGCTCTAAGCCTAATTGCAGGGCAGGGGAAGGCTTTATAAGCCTTCCCCCGCCCTACAGAGCTCAGTCTGCGTGGAGCCCTCCACGGATGAAGAAGGATTATTTTTTTAAGTGCGTCGGTTATTATGGATTTTTTATTTGGCCATTTTTGGGGCAGAAAAAAATAAGATTTTTTTGGAGGAGGGGGCTGACTAGGGGATTGTGGGACAGGGGGAGGACATCAGGTCCATCCCTTATTAGTATTTAGGGCCCCCACCCACAGCTCAGGGGTGGGGGGCAGGGGGAGGAAATTAGGTTCCCCCCTTATTAGTATTTAGGGTCCCCACCCACTGCTCAGGGGTGGGGGCCAGGGGGGAGGACATTAGGTCCCCCCCTTATTAGTATTTAGGGCCCCCACCCACCGCTCAGGGGTAGGGGCCAGGAGGGAGGACATTAGGTCCCCCCCTTATTAGTATTTAGGGCCCCCACCCACCGCTCAGGGTTGGGGGCCGGGGGAGGACATTAGGTCCCCCCCCTTATTCTAATTTAGGGCTCCCACCCACCATTCAGGGGTGAGGGCAAGGGGGGAGGACATTAGGTCACCCCCCTTATTAGTATTTAGGGCCCCACCCACCATTCACAGGTGGGGGTCAGGGGGGACATTAGGTGCCCCCCTTATTAGTATTTAGAGCCCCCACCAACTGCTCAGGGGTGGGGGCCAGGGGGAAGGACATTAGGTCCCCCCCTTATTCTAATTTAGGGCCCCCACCCACCTTTCAGGGGTGGGGGCCAGAGGGGAGGACATTAGGTCCCCCTTATTAGTATTTAGGGCCCCCACCCACCGCTCAGGGGTGGGGGCCAGGGGGGAGGACATTAGGTCCCCCGCTTATTTTACTGAAGGGCCCCCACCCACCGTTCAGGGGTGGGGGCCGGGGGGGGCAACAGGTTCCCCCTTCAGGTTAGAAGCCCCCACTCGTGCGGCACGGATGGGGGCTCAGGAGGGGGGACTTTCTTTTTTTTTTTTTTGTGAAGCTCACTGTTTACTAAACATGCCCCTACTCGAAGTATAGCGAGTAGGGGCATAATTTACTAATACTAAGTAATCTTTACTTAGTATTAGTAAATTTGGCTGAAAGACCAATTCAGGTCTTTCAGCCTTTTAGTAGATAGCTCCCTAATACCGTGGGAATTAGGGAGTTAACTACTTATTAATTGCTGTCATTACATTGACTGGCTAAGTAACTTACATTTTATATGAATGTATGTTACTTGATTTTTGTAAGTGTTGCAAATGCTTACAGCTGAATCCTGGCTATGTTTGTATACTTTTTATTTAAAATTGGTTACAGTGTAACATACTTCATTATTCCACTGGGTAAGTATATTAGTTCTTAGGCAATACTGTACTTCGGCAACTTCAGCAACTCATCTATTCGGACATTCGGAAGTACCCGAATGTCCGAATTTCTCGAAATTCGGCCGAATTCACATTCGGACCGAAACGAATTGCACATGTCTAGAAAAAAATGAATATAATCTAGTATACTCATATATAATTCCCAAATAGAATGATTACTCAATTGCAGCAATTAAAAAAAAAAAAGTAATAATAATTCACCTATGTTATGTATAACCTTATCTCTTTGGCAAAAAGCAATGTAATGGATTTTTCTCATTTACATTGCTTTTTGCCAAAGAGATAAGGTTATACATAACATAGGTGAATTATTATTATTATTATTTTTTTAAATGCTGCAACTGAGTAATTATTCTATCTGGGAATTATATATGAGTATACTAGATTATATTCATTTTTTCCAATATAGTTATAATAGGTGGTTCACTATTTATACTATGTTCATATGATGCAACATTAACATTAAGTTAATAATGGGGATTATTAACTTTCTCTTTATTATGCTAGAAATGTGGCTTCTCTCTACTATGCTAGAAATGTAGCGAATTTAGACCTGTGCTTGTATATATTATAATTAATGTTTGTCTGCTATCTTTTTACCCACACACAACAGGTTAAATTCTGCATTTGTGAGTCATATCCTTCTAGTGGTTATTGTGATATTTGTCTATGGACATATAATGAATACGGACAGTTTGCCATTATGAGATTTAGAATGCATCTATATTGTTGGTGTCCTGACTATATCACTATAAACGTCTTTATTATTTGTATATATTTGTATATATTTGTTTTAGAAGTTCATTTTCTTAATCACCTTTGAACACCTAATTACTCACTTCTGGGGAATTAGGGGATTAATTACACAGATGACTCATCTGAAATGAGATATGTAATTATTTACATCACTCAACCTCGTTTTCATCGCGAATACCCTCCAATGAACGTTTGAGCACTGCATATTTAAATGAGTTGTATAACACTGTTAAATTGTCTGAAATTTTCTGGAGTCCTGTGAGTGCTGTCCATCAAGACATTGTATACAAGAGCCGGAGGCATAAATAAGACCAGGAGCAGTGAGTGCAGGACACTTGGAAGAGATATATATATATAATCTGGGGGAAAAGCAAGTCTTATGGCTTGACTGGTGTGCAGATTTTTGTTTAGCATTGTATTAACTATCCACATACTTCAGGTGGAAGGGGTTTTCAATCACAATTTTTCCCCACCATAACCTATTTATATATATATATATATATATTACACAAGAACCAGCGCACTCACCTATCCACTAAACAGCAACTTCAATGTTGACAGATTTTTATTTTTTTTTTAAACACCTAATCTAGGCAAAAATAATGGGGTTTAGTTACATTATATGATCATACATTGCATAAGCCTGCCACAACGTTAATGTACCCCATCTTTTGGCAGGTCCTAACAGCCTAAGCGTTCAAAGTGTATTTTGAGAGAGAGAGAGAGAGAGAGAGAGATCAAAATACAGTTAGAACGAAATTACACATTTTTTTTATTTCTTTTCTTATTTTCTTATTTTTAATTTTTAATTTATTTATATATTTTATATTATATATAATTATATATATATATATATATATATATATATATATATATAATATCATTCTACGTGTATTTTGATAATATATTATATATATAATTATATATATTAATATTAAAATACATTTAGACAGTGTGTGTGTGTATGTGTATATATATATATATATATATATATATATATGATCTAAGTATATATTATTTATTTTTAAGCTGTGTTTAAACTTTATTTAACTATATTTCACGCAGCACGGGGGACTGCCTGTCATTCCAGGCACTCCCGCTGCTGGCACTGCTATGGACGGCTATTCCGTCCATGTGATCGTGAAGTCCTCGCAAGGCTCTCGTGATCACATGGCCCAGGAGGGCCAGATCGGCAGCAGGGGGACTGCCTGGGATGCCAGCTAAGTCCCCCCATCGCAATCGCTGGCGAGCAGGTAAGTCCCCTGGACGGCGTGGACGTACTACGCTACCCGCTGGAGTTTAGAGCCGGGTCCCCAAGGACTCCATAGCACGCCTGCCGTCCTTAAGGGGTTAAGGACAGAGGCAATTGTACACATTCTGATAACAAAATCAAAACAAACTCTAGAATTTGACCATATGTCTGCTCAACCAGAATTCACCTCTTTCATATTAAGTACATCCACACTTATTATATATCATTTTGTCGAGGAGAAACAGGATTTAATTTCACATAAAATATTTATATATGAAACATAATTTTATAGGAATAAAAACTAAAAAAGTGTGAGAAATTAAGAATTTGTTAAATTTTTTGTTCTGTGTGGCATTTTAACTGTGCATGTTACATAGTTACATAGTTACATAGCTGAAAAGAGACTTGGGTCCATCAAGTTCTGCCTTCCTCACATATGTTTTTGCTGTTGATCCAAAAGAAGGCAAAAATCCTAGTCTGAAGCGCTTCCAATTTTGAAAAAATACCTTCTTGACCCCAAAATAGCAGTCAGATGTCTCCTTGGATCAAGCAGCTATTACCCCACTAATTAGAAATTATATCCCTGTATGTTATGTTTTTGCAAGTATTTATCCAATTGCAGTTTAAACATCTGTAATGACTCTGACAAAACCACCTCTTCATACATGAAAAAAATAGTTGAAAAATCAAAGAAGGCTTCTAAATTGCCTATCTAAGAATAAATATAGGGATTTAGTTCCACCATATGGCCATATGATGTTAAGCCCACCACTGTTTTCAAAGTACCCCAATGTTGGTGGGTCCTACACTAAAATGTGGGGGACAAATTAAATAGTACTAGTGTTAAAAATAAAGTGTACTTTATTTTTGTATACTCACTTTGCTCTTACAAGGATTTAATAATACACTTTTTTTAACATTAGTACTATTTAATTTGTCCCCCACATTTTAGCGTAGGACCCACCAACATTGGGGTACTTTGAAAGCAGTGGTGGGCTTAACATCATATGGCCATATGGTGGAACTAAATCCCCATATTTATTCTTAGATAGGCAATTTAGAAGCCTTCTTTGTGTTGTATTTTTTTGTAGTCTGAGTGCGCCACAACTATTTTTTTCATGTATGAAGTTTGGTCACTGCGGCAGCACCTTTCATGCAAAATGCAAGTCTTGGGTGTGCCCCCAATCCTTTCTCTCAAAACCACTTCTTCAGGCAAAGAATTCCATATCCTTATGTCATAATACTGTTAGCTTTTTCTGCAATAAAATGCACATATTTTTGTTCAGTAATGTCTCATGAGTATAATAGTATCCCAAATGTCCAGATTTTATGGTGTTTTGGAAAGTTACAGGATCAAATATAAGACTTTCCCATTTCTGTTTTATACATTACAAATTTGCCAGATTGGTTATGTTGCCTTTGAGACCGTATGGCAGCCCAGGAATGAGAATTACCCCTATAAGGCATATAATTTGCAAAAGTTGACAATTTATGTAATATATATATATATATTTATATTCACAACTTATATAGTCTATGGACTCCTACTGCGGCTGTGAGAGTGATCATATGGCCCCATAGGTAGCTGATTTAAAAGAGGGGGACTACTTGGGCTGTGAGGCCATCCCCCAGAAACAAAACTCCGGGATGTGATTATTTTGGAGGCTCCTGGGCTGAAAGCAGTTACTATGTTCGACAGGAAGGGGTTAAATAATATAAATATTTAACTATAACCTTATAATAACCAGTTCTAATAAATACTCTCACAAAATATAAAGCACATGAAACGTGATATGATGGCACTACGTTTTGCTAATGTAAACCCTTATTATTATTTTTTATATATCAATAATTATATGTTGACAGGCTCAGTACATTGCGATATTAAATACGTTGCTATTATATTCAGTTATTCCCTGCTTTTATTGGAAAAAGAGATTAAACAATGTGTAAATTGCCTGTGTTTACATAAGAGATGTTGGCATGTTTGTTCTTTATGTTTTACAAAATAAAGATATTGATCTAGTTCCTAATCTAACAGGGCTGAATTTACATCTCAAGTGCCTATAGACACATAATTCTCAGGTGCCTCCCACTCACAAAAACCCATGAAATGTTGTTTTTTTTCTATACTAGAAAAAAAAAAAACTTGAGAAAAAAGTAGGTTAATACTAACTAATTTAATTGGTGTATGACCTTTAGTTTAAATTTGTTGGCAGTCATATGAATGCATACATGCAGTGTATAATTAAAACCTATAAATGCGTGATGAATGAAGGCATACATTTAGTCAATGCCTACACATAGTGTGTAACTTAATGAATGTAGCATGATGTCAACTTCATGCATATAATGTACGTGATATCAGTGCATTTAGAGAGTGTGTACCCAGTCCTGGTCTACAAATGACTGCTGGGAGTTTTGTTTATAAAGAGCACCTGACACAATTTGAATGATGGCTGCCAGGGCTGCCATTTTGAAATTTTAGGTCCCCTTACACAGCCCTTGGACTCGTCCCCCATCTCCATCACATTTTGCAGGCACTTAGAGCTGTAGTCAGGGCCATCTTTTTCCCTCCTACCAGGATGTATTGAGTGTGGGTATAGGGGATTTAGAGCATGCATAGGGGTGTGTATAGTGGTTGTAGTGTGTACATGTGTGATATATTAGTTGTGTAGTGGTTCAGGTACATAGAGATTCCCTTTAACCTCTACGCTACCCTAACACTAACCATAGACTTTACTTTAACACTAACCTTAACACAAAAATATAATATAATATAAAACATGCATACTGGCAAAGCATGTATAAGGAGAAAATAACACCATCTCTGGGTTCTGGAGACATTTACAAAAAACTCACTTAGTCTTAGACATTTACAAAAAACTCACTTAGATTAATCATAATGTTTCAAGCAGTACTTGTTGGCATTATTTTCCCATATTACAAAAAATTTGCAAAATTGTTGAACAGCAGTTTAACGTGCCAGCTGGCACTCTAAGTATGCTTTAGGGTATTTTCCTGGAAAATAACTAAATATTTTTATAAGCACATATTTGTTTTGTTTAGAAGACTACCAAATTAAAAACATTATGTGATATAATTCAAAAACAAGTAGCTTTATTGCAAACATGGAAGATATCCAAGAAAATAGACAAGAGAACTAAGATATAAGGAACTAATACAGGTCTTTACATTAACTCCTTCATTTAATTCAAGTTATTTCCTTCATAAAAAAAGTGTAACCTTTATTTTAACCCCTTAAGGACCAAACTTCTGGAATAAAAGGG